CAATCATTCCTATTTTCACTCTGGTATCTGATGAGCAGAAGCACTTGAATACATTTGTGTGTGTCGGAGAAATCCTCCAGATTCATGAACATTGTCTTTAATTTTTCTAAATAACTTCTTATTAAATGAGCGTGAGGGTCGTACTGGGGTATATCGGCCCGAGGTCCGGCCTATATTCCCCTGATCGGCTGGGGCAAGCGAGATCAGCAAATAGTTTATTACGTGGCACTCGGACCAAACCAATCAGAACGCTCGGATTTACATTTGGACTACTTTGCCGCATTGCGATGGGAAAACTAAGGTTTATTTTTTGGCTCACAGGAAGCTGTACATTAGAAATTGTGTATCTTCCCCCTGAGGTGCCAGCCAGTGGTGATGTACCTGATGACGTCGTGCGTTGGATGGTGCATTTTGGAACAGGATTGCCATTTGCATTGCACAGAAGGGTGAATGCTTTTCCTTGCACGGCAGCTTTATCAGGGTTCCCCGTTTAAAAGGTAGTAACAGAAGATTTATCTATTAATGAATAAGAGAAGCTCAGGAGGAATCTAACATGTGCATTGTAATCGGATAACTCTTGAGCCATTTCATCTTCTGATTAGCAAGATAAAGTTTTATTTTTATAGGATACAGAGCCTTCGTGTGGTTAACATGGATAAAGTCGCAGCTTGAGCTCCACCCATGAACGAAGTACTGGTATATTTGTTACCCAGAGAAGTAAGGGGAATCTTAAGGCTTACAATTTAGTTTTAATACTGAAGTTCAGGAGCAAAGGATTCCTGTTACAGGCACAGTATCAGTTGACACGAGTTTGCATTGCATGCTTTGGCATTCAAAACAGTTTAAACCCTAAAAGGGGTCGTTGTGGTTCTAATTTACATCTCAAACTCACCAGTCTTGTTTCTTCAGCGCTACCAAACCATTGCTTACCTCACGTGTATATTTAGGTGCCTGCATTCAACAATTGTGCACTTTCCAGTTAGAAAGTGTCTTTTACAGCGATATATGTACACACAGGATATATTGGAACCATTTTTGTTAATCCCTTCTCTTATGTATGACCATGAAAACTTGTTTCTTGTACAACTGTACAAAAGTGTTGGCAAAGTAGACTTGGATAATTCTATATTACATTGGTAATTCAATTATATTTGTTGTACACTTAACATCTAGCTCGCGCGATCCAGGAGATAAGAATAAGGATCTACTTATTCTTACATCCTACTGTAACCTGAACACCATAATGGTCGATGTAGTGGCCGAGAGTCGGAGAATTAACAACAGCTTCACATCGGTACATCTCTGTATCATTCGTATTGGCTGATGTTATTGTGTAGCTGGAGTTGTTTGGATCTTCCTGAACCTTTACGTCATCTTTGCACTCAGCACCTGCAACATCGATCACAAAGAGTGGTCTGACCTGGCTACAGACCGTGGTACCTGGCGCCACACAATCAACCAAGCCATCGCTCAATTTGAGGAGGATAGACATGAGGTACTTAAAGACAAGCGACAGAGGAGGAGGGCCTGCGCCGCCTCCACCTTCACTCCTGACATTACCTATCTCTGCAGATACTGCCCGCGGATCTGCCTTTCCCGGATCGGTCTGGTCAGCCACGAACTGCCGTCGGCTGCAGGCACTGCAGCCGACGTCAACGTGGACAACCTTTTTAATCTTCGTTCGCGAAGTAAAGCCGACACACACACTCACATACCATGTGTTGTATGGTTTTGGGATGCCACTAGCAACACATGGTAACGTTCTTGTTGCACCTTCATCCAAAGTTTGAGCTGTTGAAGTCTTAATTATAATCCTTGGTTTAACTGCATGGGAATAAAAACATCTTACTGGAAAGGTGATATCATCAAACTGTTACGTTAACAAAGGGAAAGTTCTTATTTAGACAGTAGTGCCTAGTTTAAAGGGGAAAAACATTAATTTTATTTATTTATTTATCTATTTATTAGATTTGCCGACAGGCAGAGACACCGTAACAGCTTGCGCCAATCACTGTGGGCCCAGTAACCAACTATCCCAACCAGGAGAGGAGATACATCACGCAGTAATCTAGCATAACAAAATAAAATATTAGGATCGAAATTTAGTCTATAGTAAAAAAAGGAAGTTGATGGACGTGCCACGTGTGAGTAATAATTTAAATCTTCTTGGCCCTTTGATTCTCAAGATCTAAAAATGCATGATATCAGCACGTTTTGCCATGTATTTATTACGATTATAGTTCTGATAAGTTTTGTCATATGAAGCAGTTTTCCTTGGTTGGTTTCTTTCTCCTATTTCGCATCATCTCTCTGTCTGAAATTACATAAATTTTATGAGAGAGGATATCCATTACGTTGTCTCCTAGGAGTAAAATGGCTGATTGTAGAATAAGAGAGGGTTTTCATGTAACACACAAGTAACTGACAAGAATAAAGCTTTTATGATCATAGGGAGGGATCATCATCTTTATTCAATAAAAAGAAACCGTTGATGTTTTGTAATTACTTCTTTTGCTTAGGATTATATTTTACACACTCTTGTTTTCTCGTGAAGAACTTCAGTAGTCCAAAAGATCTAACATCTACAGGACAATTGGCTGGTACGTTGTACGCATAATCAAAAAACTGATTACATTTCCTGATTGATTCTTCCTCATTGTCCTCGGGTTAATTTATCTTCACAATGTAACGTTTTAATGTCAACAGAGCTGGTACATGGACCAAGACTAGATTAAATGAAACAGCATCATATATGTTTGAATTCCCAGTCAGGAGAGTCACATATTCAAGGTTCAAATCTGCCCTTTGTTCAAATATTTCCAAACCGGGAAAAATTTGAAGCACAGATAAGTTAGCTAATTTAGCTTAGAAACTTGCCAGCCAAAATAAGTTCAGCAGTATCTAATATCACTGGAGGGACACTAAAGGAGAAAGACACTTGACATTCATTAATTCCAATGTCCTTTGTCTGAATATTCGATATGGTAAGTGTTGCAGGCCCTGATACCTGATACTCTGAGAACAGTGGTGTGACGTTATATCCACGTGATTTCAATACGTTAGCCATTGTAATACGATAGTATTTACCCGCAGTCAACACACGTGTGTAACCGAGCAGATGCTTGAATAAAGGACTGCTGTCACAGACACAAACTCTTGTCTATCCATTTAATACACCGTTACAAGTGGATTGTCCACTTGCTGGTTTAGTAGCAATGCAGTTATTATTGTGAAATCACCATACGGAAGAGACTGTTTTGCCAGCACTGTTGTAGGTCCATGATAGGGATGCAGATTGACCCTCTAACTGATACACGAGACTGTTTGGTTTACTGGTAAAACTTTGACCATCTGAAAAAAAACATACTACGGAAATAGAGAGATAAATGCAGCGCATGAAACATTGCTAACAGATAATCAACGATATCTTTCGTAACGATTTGGATTTAGTTTTATTATATGAGGCTCAGCAATCGATCCCAATGTTAACTAAAATAAATAATAAATAAATAATAGAACTATCCTCTCTATTACTTATTTGTCCGTTTAATTATAAAGGGAATGCCTTGAAATAAATTACACCGATAAATGTGAAGGCGATTTGCACTGAAATTAAACGATAGAAGCGAGAGTGAACGAATGTTACCATTGAGTCAGGGTTGGTAGGTAACGCAATTACTGAACTGAATAGAAATTAACTCGCGTCTGGACTCGCCGATTTGAATTAGCGAAAATCTGTGACTCTTGAGATGTTCATACAGTCATGTATCGAACCGTAATGAAGTAAATAGCACGGCATTCGTATACATCGAAGTTGTGCACATCAACTGAGCCATAAGTACATAAATAGAACCCCATCTATGTGTACAAATACATGTATAGAGGAATATAAACTTTATCTTCGAATGTTGATACTATCTATTGTTTTTTGTAGTTTTTATGGCCACTGCCTCCTACGGAAGCGAAGTCATGGCGTTTTTCTGATAGTCGGCCAACGTAGCTATTGCCTGATTATTTCGGTAGCAATTGATATCCAGATGAAATGTATTTCTTTCGTATGTATTTTTAACCATAAAAAGTGAAACAAACGAGCAAAACACGTAGACTTCGATATCAACGAGATCGCGCTAAGGAACTGAATATAGACGGAAGAAGTCTTCGCCTAAATCTCCCATTTGCAAAGTTTTCTCAAAGCGGTCCTCCAAAAAGTGATCTCAGAAAATAGCAAAAATGTCATTGCATAGTAGTTCTGGAGAAGTCGAACCCACTTCTCCCGCTCACAGCATAGTTTTAACGATTGCTGGAATTTTGCAATACAAATAGACTTTTTATAATCAATCTGTGGTTTTATTCTGGTAATAAAAGTCAAACAACTATCATGAAAGAGAGAACTATGGTGTTGCCTTATAAAACTTTATCAAAGAATAATTACCCATGTGAGTTTCCTACGTTGAATCTTTGACGTGACTTCTTCTCAAATCGTACCTTGCTTCAGGTGAACTTCCTGGACATGGTCAATTAATGTAGACCGCGAAATTTCCAAAACAACCACTTCTTTCCGTCGCAACAAATTTAAAATTTGCAGGGTAAATGAGATAGTCACAATGTACGCGAAAATGTAACAACATAAAATATGTAAAAATATGATCAAGAAAGCAATGACTTTCTTTCGCTTATATTAACAATATAATACCTGAATTGTCTGTGAAATGTTCCGAAGCATTTAAAAGGTAAGAAAACCATGAATACAGAGGGGGAAAGTGTTTAAGTTACCAGTCGATGCAGCCGCAAATACAAAGTTGACATGGGATAATAGAGAAAGGTTGTGTAATCTGATCGTTTCAACCTTTAACTTTTTTGACGGCTCGGTTCCCATCAGCTCGTAAACAATCAAGGAATCGAAGATGGAGAATAGAGAATGGAAGAATGGAGAATGGAGAATGGGAGAATGGAGAATGTAGAATGGAGAATGTAGAATGGAGAATAGGAAGAATTAGAGAATGGAGAATGAAGAGTGGAGAATGGAGAACAGAGGAATGGAGAATGGGAAAGGAAAATGGAGAATGAAGAATGGTGAATGGAGAATGGAGAATGGAAAATGGGAGAATGGAGAGTGGAGAATAGAGAAGGGTGAATGGAAAGTGGGAGAATGGAGAGTGGAGAATGGACAATGGAGAATGGAGAATAAAGAATGGAAAATGAAGAATGGAGAATGGTGAATGAAAAATGGAGTATGGAGAATGGAGAATGAGGAAGGGAGAATGGAAAATGGAAGAATAGAGAATGGAGAATGCAGAATGGGGAGTGAGAATAGAAGCATGGAGAGTGAGGAATGGGAAATGGAGAATGGGAAATGAAATAGGAATTTTGTTTTTCGTTTTATGATATTTTCAGCGGTGCTCATCGATATTCACATTTTCTTTCAAAACGTTCAGAGGCGAAATTTAAGGGATAAGTGATAGGTCAAATGAAGTTTTTTGAGATTTATGAAAAAGCTAATTCATCTTTATTTTAATATCGATGAATTAGAAGTTTCAAAGAGAGTAGCAGTTAAGTACTTAAGTTTTTCAGACCCCAAGTCACTACATAACTTCGAACGACAAACGAACCTAATTCCTCAGTCCCCTTTCCGACTCATCATTCCATTCCACTTCCCTTCCTCAGTTCCCATTCCTTATTCCTTCATTTTAAAGGAGCACTCTGATGAAACCGCCCTATAATTTGAAACCCTGAAAAAATCAGTTATTTCATTATAATATGAATTTTTAGTGATTAATAAAGCCTTTTCAAAAATAAATTTAGTTGAAAGTCAATTCTAGGGCGAGAAAGTACGATTTGAAAACCGTTCCGCCATTAATTTTCGTAATCACTTCGCAGGCTCAAGAAGACTGGCGCGAGTTTGGAGATTACTCATTTGAAACGCCGTGCTCTTGGCTAATTTTAAAAAACAGGATTTTTGTCGTCTATATTGCTTTTTATAACACTAAGACTAAGACTATTTCATTACATTTCACGAGGTTTCTGTATAAATATAAAATTGTGTTGAGTAATCTACGTCACAATGGGAGGCCGCAAAACCTCAAATAATTCGATCAAAACCGAGATCGAAGATACGTTTGTCACATGACCGATCTAAAAAAGTCAAAACGGCAAAACCGAAAATTCTAATCCCCCCATCATCATGTAACATCCTATTTATGGTGGAACGGGAGATAACAAAATCATGACATAGGCATAATGTGATTTTATGTCGAGGCCCGTCGTAGTCAGGTATTTGGGTGTACCTTTGCAAGGGGCAAGGAGCGTCGCCAATCACAGTTTCTCTCCTGGTCCTTCTCGCCTTCATTCCCGTCGTGTTAATATCCGAACACAGATTTTCGGTATTGTAGAAGAATTTTCCCGCCCCTTCCCCACGGTCCAACCTTCTCTTCAGGCTTTCGTTGCCGTTTTATTCATATTTGGCTCTTTGCCGATATTTAACCCCACCTTTGTTTAAGAGATTGCTTGATGTTTTTCATATCAATGTTCTTGATGTCGGGTGAAATAAAAGCGTCACTATTTTGGCCAATTTATACCACATTAGCAGTTATTTTATCTCCTATCAATCTGATCAGCAAACTAGTGCGACGTCACTCAGCGCTTCACTCCCGTTTCAGTAGAAACACGCGGGTTTCGTGTCAAAAATTATTGTTTAAGCAGTCTATTTGCTTTTTCAGTCAACATCTTTTACACATCCATTTCATGAGTAAGTAACAATTCGGTAAAAAAATACGAACCGCTATCTTACCGGTGGAAGGGCTTTTTGTGAACAATTCTTTTTTTTTTTTTTTACTAACATGTTATTTTTAAACTTAAAAGTATACATCCAAGAATTTTCGAAAGCATTTTTAATTTTCGGAACGCGTTATAATCTAAGTACGCGAATGTAAACTACGTACTCTATTTAGTCACGCCACATTAGATTAGGGTATATACGTATATTGAACGTCATAGTCCTAGATCAAGTTGCAAGTCAGATCATATATACATTTTACGAAAACAAAATTTTATCGCGAATGTATCCAGTAAACTTCAGGATAGATCTTCCATTCATCATGGAGCACTATCGGCCGACAAACTATCCAAATAGAAATAGAGCACAGAACCCGATTGCCGTTCGATATGTATCCTCAGTTGACTATCGACAGATTTCAGTGAACGGCCTCAACTGRTCATACGAGGTAAACAACTGTTTACTTCCGCGATGGGCACACAGATGCCACGAATAAACAACAGTATTGAACTACACAAATTTATACATTCCTAATGTGGCAAATCTCTCATTCCCAATTACACGCAGAGGTTATAAGGCTTAGATAATTATACATTGTTATTTCGAATATGCTCTAGCACAGTAGATTTAAACAACGAATACCTAATTTCCTATTTTGCAAACGTTTGATTGGCGCACGATGCATTTAAGAAACACTCGAAGGGACAAGAGATCGGTTCTTCTTTTTTTTTTTAAATATGGATAGAAAACAAGTAGCAGATCGAGTGTTTTTGTAACTTCATAGCAAATAAAATCTGAAATAGACAATACTTACTTCCGCATTGAAGAAGTCGGGCCCACTTTTCAACGTTGTACTTAAACTAACAAATATACAACTGTTCTAGAAATGGCTGTGGAAGGGCTTATCATGGTTTGTTTCTGAGTCAAAAGGCTTACATTTTGAATTTGTCTCAGTCTAAAGTTTGGCGTCTTGAGAGGGTCTCACAATACGTGCACGTTTGGCTTCACAAATTGTATTAAAGATCGATACTTACATACTTTCCGAACAAGAGTTGGTAGCAGCAGATAAAAGTTGCATATTACTGTCTGGAATTACATAGGCTTAAGATCACTAAATGACTGTTTACGGTTGTTTTCAACAAAGGAACAATCTCTTTGCAAAGGGAACCAGATAAATATGCATACATACGTTTGTCTCCGTGTCGTGAGCTCTGGGCTCGGTTATTTAATTAACGGTTTTGTGCTATATAATTGCTGTGCTGCGAGCATAGCGAGCGAGCAGCAGCATAATCAGGGTTGGAAAAGGATATAGGGAATGCGAGCTATCGAATTCTCGAATTCATCATTTTTTACCAGAATGCATCGTAGCTTTAGTCAGAGCGCCTTGCGCTGTGATTGCTGGGCATAGTGTATTGCGTTACATAGCGTTACTACTGTGACTGACATTACCTATTATGTACTCAGTTGTGTTGTTAATCTACTTTTCTAAGAAAAGGTAATAACTAATCGTGAGTATTGTACAGTAAATCTTCTTAGTTGATCACTGAATGATGGACAGTTGAATAAGAGCAATAAAAGGATTGGCTTGATCAATGAGTAATTCTACCTTGCGTAAGTTGAAACGCCGGTAAGCCGGAAAGCATAACGCAGTTGACCGATGGTGTTCATTGGCCCGTGCGACTCCTGCAATTCTCTGGCGTTTTTAAATCTTCTGCCCTTGAGAGGTATGTTTATCATTGTAAGTATTGCAACTCGCAGGTAGATGAATCAGTGCGTAAATAATGTCACTATCAACAGAATGTGCCGCAGCATTACTATCTTTTAGAGACACTAGTTTACCTGTGATAATCTGGACTCGTTTCCGTTACTCGCAGAGGAGTACGTGTATTATGCTTAAAGGAGGCTTAGGGAATCAAATATATCAAATACTCTAGTCTCTGTGACAGGAGCCCGAGGGTCCACCTGATCTGCTCACAAGACTAGCCAACATATATAGTTTGCCAAGGGATTCTAACTCAAATTTCCGGGACTCTTCTAAGTCGTTTTAAAGTTTTACAATCCGCAAGTTTTGCAACAAAAGACAATTATTGCCTTCCTAGAAAACTGATTTCAGTTCAATTACAAGTTTGTCGTCGCTTTTAAGACAAATGATCAAAAGCTTTATGACGAGTGTCTTGATCATGTTCAATGGCAGCAACCGCTTCCTGAGCAACAGAAATCAACGTAAAAAAACAACAAGTAGGCTAACCTCCTTTGAGTTAGCTGGCATGTTGACATCCATTTAGTGATTGTAAACTCTCTCAATTGTTTACAGTACAATTGTGAATCGAATAAGAGTTCGCTTGACATAAATAATAACATAACAAAGCTCTCCTTTAATGATATAGCGTAGGGGGGTGCATGTGCGTGCTCTATCAGAATAGAGTCACGCCATCACGTACAGCTGTCAAGCCATTTCCCAATTTGTACTACGTCTAGCGTTTTTTTCGTCAATTGAATTACGTAAGTGAATTTTCGGAACAAGCGAGCCGGCAAGAAGCAACAAAAGAACCAAACTGAAAGGTTTGTAAACACGCCAAACGCCGTAAATTGCATTACTAAAACGTGTGAAGAGACGAAAATACGAAGCTTTGAAGGTTTTCCCACTCAATTAGATTGTAAACTGACGTTCAGGGATAAAAATCAAAGACAGCTAACACTCGTATAGTGTATATATTTCGTGTTCATAAACAAAACAGAACAAAACAAGAACGATAACAATTGAAATTATATCAAAGCTGGCATAAATGTTAAAATTCCTACAAATCATGACGATGTCAGAGCGACTGCGATCATGCAGCGTGACGTCCATAGCAGCTAGCTAATTATGGCGATCTCCGCTTATCGCAGTGAAGCAAGCCTCAGAAATTACATCGGCCGCCTTTTGAGTGAACTCAATGGAGAGCTTGCTCTGATATCCTTTACGATGCGTTGAGTAAAAGGCCGCATCAGCCAATGCTTTACTGCTCTGCCGTTCCGAGAAATCTTCAAGCTTTTCTGAATTGGGCTGTCGTTCGCAGCGACCTAAAAAGCCGGAACTGCAGAATAGCGGGGAAAAAACTTAAATCCTACAAAAGGGAGCCGCGAAAAGTGACTCCAAACCCTAAAATACGGAACGGCGGAAAATGACCCTAGTCTATATGGCGGGAAATGACCCCAAATCCTAAATGCACAAGCATCAAACAATCAATGTTGCGACTTAGCCGTCAGGGTATGTTGCGCGCGAACTGTTTGTACAAAGAGACTCCAGCACTTGGCATTCACCTCCACAACGATAGCGCACTTGATTGAAATTAAGTGTTAGGATCTTTTTTTATCACTGAGTGCTATCAATAATATTGATAAATTATACAAGAAAGATGGCTGCCTATTCGCGTTGTAAACCTATTTAATTACCTTTTGTC